CAGAACCCCAGAAAGGAGGGCCTGGGAAGTGTAGAATCCCAAGCTCAGCAGAATTTTGGTCCCCAAATGTGGCCCAGAGACAGCCCAAACCTGAAGGGCCCTGAAGACAGGACAATGGGAAGACCTGGCCCTGTACACAGATGAGAAATAGCTAGAGCCACCATACATGCTTTGGTACTGCCCAAGACCCCAAGGCCCTGGACCTGGTGTGCTGCATGGCAGGGTCACGTGGAAGCATCGTGAATGACTGACATTAGCTTATGGCATTCTGGAAGAATAAAACCATAGAATCAAAGATGGATTCCTTTCATGTATAAAAATAAAAGAGAGGCACTACTTGTTGCAAAGCTCGGTCTGTGGACCAGGATTCTAGTTGCCCCTGCTGAGCCCCTAGTAGTTTCATTCTCATGGCCTAGTCTCAAAGTCAGGCAAAAGGCCATTACAGTGATCCAAGCCAAAAATGAAGCTTGGACCAGGGTGGTCAGGTGGTACAGATGAAGAGAAGCAGAAAGGATTTGGTGATATTTCAGAGCTGAGATTACAGGACTTAGAGAGTCCTGGGAAAGAAGGAGTATCATGAATAAGTTCCCATTTACTGGCATGTGCAACTGGCTGGATGGAGATGCTATTTCTGAGATCAGGAGAACCTATTGCGGAATAGGTGGGATGAGTTCGGTTCTGAACTTGTTGGGTTCGAAATACCCAACAGAAGATGTCACCCAGGCAACTGAACATGTAATACGAAGCTTAGAAGAGAAGTCTGACATATAAATTTAGGAGTCATCGGCATTTGGGGGTGGTTGTTAAGAGTGGGCATGGATGAGAGTCCAGGGAAGACAGCAGAGAGAGAAGAGAAGAGGGCCAGGAATAGCCCGGTCTTCAATGGGCAGGCAGAAGGGGACACTCCCTTAGTGGCAAGTCGGAGTAGGAGGGAGATGAGGAGGCTGCTGTGTGTGAAAGGTAAGAGCACAGAGGAGGTCAGAGCGCCACAGAGAGGCCAGATATGCTGAGAAACCCAGGGTCCACTGGGTCAAGTAATGCGGCAGTCACTGCTAAGCTTGGAAAGAAATGTTCATTGGAGAGACCAGCTCAGAACCCCTAAGCAGGAGAGCAGGGCAGCTGAGGAGGGGGTAGAAAAATAGACGGGGAGCCATCCTGCTCTGGAGGAGGAGGGGAGAGAAAAGGGCCATTGCTAGGAGAAAACTGGATTAAAGATGATTCAAGTTGTACTTTTTTTTCTCTCTTTAACAGCTTTATTGAGGTACAACTACCATACCACAATAAGCTATCCATGTTTGAAGTGTAACCATCTGAAAAGCTGACATATGAAATATTCATGAAACCATCACCATATCAGGAATATATTTTTCTCCCCTGAAATTTCTTCCTGCTCCTTAGAAGTCCCTCATTCCTACTCCCCTCATCCCCACCCCTAGGCATTCTCTGATCTGCTTTCTGCCATTATCACTTTCTGCTTGTATTTTCTAGAATTTTATATAAATGTCGTTTTACCTTACTTTATTTTATTAAGGTACTCCTTTTTTGTCTGACTTCTTTCACAACACAATTATTTTGAGATTCATCTATACGATTATGTGTATCAATAGTTCATTCTTTTTTATTGCTAAATCATTTTCTATGGTATGGCTATACTATAATTTATTTATCTATTCACCCGTGGATGACATTTGAGCTATTTCTATTATAGTTTGGAACTATTACAAATTAGGCTGCTTTGAACTTTTCTGTATAGGTCTTTTTAAAAAATAATTATTTATTAGGGACCACCAGTTGGCATAATGGCTATGTTGCTGGATTCCCATGTAGTCAACCATGGTTTGAGTCCCAGGCCTGGTGGCTTAAACTCACACCAGGCACATGTGGATGCATGTCCGAGATCCTGAGAGGAGAATGGAGAAGGGATTGCAGTGTGACCATCTCCCTGGGGGGTGATTTCTCACTTTCTGTCTCTCTGCCTCTGTCTTTCTGGTGAGCGCATGCACCCTATAGCAAAAACCTCTCAAAAAAAAAAATATATATATATATTTATTATTATTTTAATTTGACTAGAGAGAGAGACAGGGAAAGTGAAAGAGCAAGCCATGAGGTCCAGGAATCGAACTGCAGTCAGACTTGTAGGAGTCCAGTGCCTTAACCACCACACCACTTCCCGGCCCATGTACAAGTTTTTATACGAACATGTGCTTCCAATTCTCTGCAGTAGACAACTAGGAATGAAATGGCTGAATGTATGTCTAAAAAAAAAAAATTGAAGACAAGGTCTGGATGTGTCTTGATCCTCCTGCCTTAGCTTTCCAGCTGGGGTAGGTGCTCACCACTATTCTAGGCTTTTTTTTCTATAGAGTATGTGTACTCACCAGACAGAGAGAGAGACAGAGACAGAGACAGAGAGGGAAAGTGAGAAAGTAAGATGCCAGGTCCAAACTCACACTGTGACTGGCAACGTGGGAGGCCAGTGCCTCAACCACCATGCCACTTGCTGGCCTTACTAGGCTCCATTTTTAAGAAAGGGGCTCATTACGTTGCCCAGGCCGTCCTCAAACTCCTGATCTTCCTGTCTCAGCCGCCCTGATTCACTGGTATTACAGACATACACCACCTTCCACAGCTTTTACATCGGACTGGAAGTCTACCAAAGCCCTCCCATGTGGTTCCAGCCTGAAGAGTACAGCTCTGATCAGCGTACGTCACCATAGCTGGGCTGTTCTGACAAACTTTTAAGAAATTGTCCAACTGTTTACCAAAGTGGTTGCACCATTTTACATTCCCATCAGCAGTTTGAGAGTTCCAATTTTTCTAAACCTGCCAATACTTACATAAACAGTCTTGTTAAGCTTAGATATTCTAGTACCTTCTCTTTCTTTTTCTACCCCTATCCTATCTGGAGAGAGAGTAATGAGTAAGTAAATGGCCACATATATTAACCGGAAGACAGAGAGAGAAGAGAAGGAAGATAATCAACAGCAAACACACTCTAGGTAAACACTACCTTCATCAAAAGCAAAATGCTTTTGGGGGCCATGTTCTGGGAACAAGGCCAGGCCTTAGCAAATGTCATTTCTTATGGATGAGTCATCTGGTCAACGTGTTAGCCTACTACCTTCCATGCCAGGGCCCAGGCATGAGGCAAGAGTGGGGACCTCAGCTAGAGAAGGCTTCCCTGGCCCCTGTACAGTGAGAAAGTGGGA